CACACACACACACACAAATTAGACAACCCTAGCAGCTCTAGCAGAGACTACCATGGGCAGACAGAGCAAACAGACCCCAGAATGACCCACCCCGCCTAAGTTGGCACAGAGGGAGTGTTTTTCTTGTTTGCAAACCCAGTGCCAGGTGTCCGCCCTGTGCCTGGGATCCCCATAGGACTGTGCCTAGGACCCTGAGATGCCAGAGTGTGATCAGGTTGGGGGTGGGGGCCTCTCAGGGACCCTGCGGGTCTGGGGTTAGGGCAGGGACTCTGTAGGGCTGTTCTCGTGCAGCTATGTGCAGAGCACAGGTTAGGAGGCTTTGCAGAAGGCCCAAGTGTACAGGAGAGTCGGCACTGCCAGGGGCTGAGGATGCCCAAGGAGCCCCAGGCAGGAGTGTCTTCCCCACAGGAATCAAGGTTGTGACAAGGACCCCTGAGGCTGGCTGGGCAGATTCTGGTGAATCTGGTGAGCCAGGTGGGGAGGAGATAAGGACACCGCAGCCCGAGGTGTTTGTGAGGGGGTTGAGCTGGAGATGAAGAGGAAGAGGAAAGGGCCAGCAGTGTCCCCAGGAGCTGGAGAGCAGCTGCTGGGAGATAGCCCTGAGCTGCGCCTGGACAGGGCAGCTGAGGGCGTTCCAGGGGCTTCCACAGAGGTGGGGCACGCTTGCCAGGCCTGTGGGTGGGAGAGCGGGGTCTCCAGAGGGCGAGGTGAAGTTTTGAAGGCTAAACTCCTTTCACATTTTGTTTTTCTGTAACTCCTCTCTACATGAATATGTTCCTTTTCCCACTGAGAAAAAAAATGGACCTTAGTTGGGACTAAGTTGAGAGTCTTAGTTGGGACTCTCCAATTAAGTCAGCATGCTGAAAACATGATCGAGAGAAAACGCGATGTCAGAGGTGTGAGGCTGCGCTGAGGTGTGAACTGCTCTGCAGTTCACCTGCATGGCTCTCCCCATGTAATGGGCTAGCCGCTGCCCACAGGCCCGGAGCTGCCCAATGACAGCCCACCACCCCGTGCCTGGGAGGGCAGTGCCGGGTGCTGGTTTACAGGGTGGTGTCTCCTTACTGCTGCTCTGACCTCAGCTCCCTCACCAGAAGGATGAGCTGCTCTGGAACTCTGATGAACAAGTCATTGTGGGCCTGGTGGCCCTATCTGCGGCAGTGGCTCCCTCAGGGCCCCCAGTGCTCCTGACCACTGCCGTGAAGAAGGAGCACTGGGCTGGGTGGGATTCCCAGTCTGGTCAGGGTGGGGCTGGCAGTGAAGCTGTGGGAGTCGCCTTTCCCAGCTGGGCCTCCCCCTTCTCACTGGTGAACCACAGGGTTCCTGATCACACCTGCTATGGTCCGTGCTGTGCGGGGATCCAGAGGGATGACTGGGCTGGGACTTGGGATTTCCAGCCCCAAGAGGAGGCTGTACCTGGGCAATGGCACAGAGGAGAGGTCTGAATCTAGAAGGGAGGTGTGTGTGTGGGGAGACCCAGAAGAAGGCCCCCCACAATCATCCTAGAAGCCCGCCTTGATGGCAGGAAGCTTGTTTAGTGATGTCTGAGGTCCAGTGCCCAACACAGGCTGCTGGACAGATAGTTGATAAACTTTTTGCAATCTGACACCCTCTGGAGTTGACAAGGGTCAGCATTCCTGGACTAAGGCCCAGCCTATGCGAAGGCCTGGTGGTGTGAGCACTCAGATGCTGTGGCTCTATAACATGTTTTCCCTTTCACAGCTACCTTGAGGACTTTGATAGTAATAGTTAGAACTTGTTATGTGCCAGGGGCTTTGCATGCATTATCTCATTCTTTGAATTAAGGTTTCCTCATGCTTTTATTGTATGTACAAAGAGACGAATACACAGGGAGGTTAAGTAAGTTGTCCAAGGTTACACAGCTGGGACATTGGAGAAGCAGGATTCAAACCCATACTGGCATCCAGGTCCTTTTCAGGCTCGTGCCCTTCCCAGGGCCCAGATAGCCCTGACCTGTAGTGCCATGTCCCCTCCCGTGGCGCCCAAGTGAGCAATCCTTAGAGCTTGGCACGGTCAAGGTACCGGGCACATGGGGGGAATACGTGACCCTCCAAGAATAAAAGAATGGCTGATTCTTGAATGGTCACTGTAACTTTTTGATTTGTTTTCTGATTCTGTTGATGCACAACAAAAAATGCTACGGATACTGTGCTTCATTTCTAATGATAGTCTTGATAGGAATGTAACTTCCTCTATTCTCGATACTGATTTACTTCTGAGAAACTCCCTTACAATCTTTAATATTATTATACAATTAACTCCTATATACCAGGTGGTTTGTGAAATGAATGGAGAGAGTAATTAAAAGGATTAAAAAGGCATAGGTGATAGATAGGTTATTTGTTTAGCAGCACTGAACCTTGAATACACGGTGGTTTCCTAGAGCCCCAAGTTGGTTTCGGGCCCCTGGCAACATCACAGAAACAAAAAGAAATTAATGTATTACCTGTCATGCCTCTATTGAAAAAATCATTGTACCCCTATATTTGCTTGCCAAGAAAAACTGTATAAATGCTCTGCACTCTTAAAAATAAATGACATTCAGATATGCGCTCCTAGAAGTCGTGTCTGTCTGTCACTCAACCTCATCCTTGTCCACCCTGCGCCAGAATTGCCATCCCTGAAACTTGTCTCCTGCTCCTGCTGTGCTGGTCCGCGGCACTGCAGCCTCTCACCTTTGTCTCCCCAGCCTCCAGGAGGTCACATGTGCACCGACGCGGGATCCTGGACCTGGCAGCGACCATGGAGTGTGCCAATGGCCACAACCCTTTAGCCTACATAACCTACGGCTGCTACTGTGGCCTGGGTGGTTCTGGCCAGCCCCAGGACACTATTGACTGGTGAGTGCATGCTTGGGTCCAGGCTGGGGGTCTTCTATCCCCTGGGTCAGGGCATATGAGGAAATACCCAAAGCTTGGACCAAGAAAATGCTAGCCTGTGGAACTACCTTGCAGGCACAGGCAATATGGCCAGGAAGGCCCAACCTTGGGGCCAACAGCCTTCTGGCCTGGCCATGGGGTGGTTACTTTGGTTGAAAAAGGAATGACATCAAGTTGATAAGACTTAGTTAGCTCAAGGAACTGCTCTGCGAACCCTGGTGAGTCCTCACAATGAGCCCACTTCATAGGTAAGGAAGCTGAGGCTCAGAAGGATTAAGTACCTTGTCTCATGTCACATGAACTTAAAGGGTGGATGCAGCCTGGTGGGATGCGACCCCTCCACTTGTCTCTGCTGCTGAATAAGCTGCCTGGGCAAGGCCAAGGGCTTCGGACTCTCTGGATGCCCTCCTCTGCAGCCATCCTTGGTGGTTGGCAGATGGTGGTACAGAAGAGGCCTGGTAGGCCTTCTACTTGGAGGTAGTTGACTGGAGCGGAACCTGACTGTTTCCACCCCTGGAGGGTCACCTACAGACCCCCACTCGGCCCTGTGCCCCTGCCCCTGGCTCTCTGGTCACCTGGCTCCCGCAACTCAGGTATTATTCTTCTAGGAAGGCTTCTCTGCAGCCGGGCTGGGCCTGGCACCTCTCTGGCCCCCAGAACCCCCTCTCTTTAGCCATCTTAGCACTGCCCACCGGCGATGGCTTCTCTGCCTCCCCACCAGACTGCAAGCTTCTGGGGCCCAGAGCAGGAGCTGGCTGACCTGTCAAGGGTTCAGCACAGCAGGGTAGTTGGCTAGATGGAAATACTAGTGACTGAATAAGTGAGTGCATGGATGAATGATGGGCAGGCCCAGGGGCATTGTGGGTGCTTCTCAGAATTGCTCAGCTGTGTTTATTGAGGTCCTGGATGCAATGGAGAACAGCAGAGAGACAGACAGAACAGCTTGCTCTACCAGAGCTCTGTCCAGTGAGGAGGATAGCCGTTAACCTACTTTCTCCCTGATGAGGGCCTCCTGTAAACCTGGCCAAGGGACGGAACCTGGGATTGTGAGAGGTGTAACAGGATACTGTCACACCTTAGGGGGGTAGGAGCCCCGGTGACATCCTGGGCATGGGGGTCCTGCTTGGGTTGAGACCTAAGGAGGAAGAATCGGCAGGAAGGTGTCCTAGGCAGAGGGCAGGACTTGGGCAAAAGCAGGCAGTGGGTAGGCGGTCAGGAATGGAGGGGAGGTTGGTGGTGCTATTGCAGAGCCTGAATGAAGGAGGAAGTCCTGGTCGCACCAGGGTCAACAGGGATTCTCAGGGGCTGAGGCTGGGCCCCAGGAGGGGGTTCCCTGGTGGCTTCTCCCTCCCCACAGCCCTGGCTTGGGAGGATGGCTGGGCGGGCATCTTCCCCCACCCACACCTGTGCATCCGCAGGTGCTGTCAGCGCCACGACTGCTGCTACGCGCGGACTGAGAAGGCCGGCTGCAGCCCCAAGGTGGACAGCTATTCCTGGCAGTGCGTCAGCGGGAAGGTCCTGTGTGGTGAGCTCCAGCCCTGCCTGCATCGACCCCCCACACCCCAGGGCACCCTGGGCCCAGCCAGAATACTTCCCCGGCTTCTTCCCGCTCTCCATAGCCCACCTCAGGGTCCTCTGACATGAGTAATCTTTTACACTGAGCACTTGAAAACCAAACGGGAGGCTTGTCTCTTGCTGCCTGGACAAACACCACAAGGACAGAAAGGACAGCAGGCATCTGACAGGACACCCATGTGTCCTCCTTGTGGAGACCTGCCGCGGGAGGGGGGTGAGGCAGGGCCAGACGCCCACCTGGGAACATGAGGGGTGGCATGTAGGACACCCCGATTGCGTTTTAAAAAAAGAAAGAAAAACTCTCCAAAAGTTACACACTCTTTTCCATGGCTGCACCTCTGCACATACAAAGCTCAGAAAACGACGCGTAGGGATACACTCCTGACGGAGAGGACTTGGGCCACTGTGGCTGTCCAGCTGTCCAGCACCGTTTGTGGAGACCACAACAGAGGTCTTGATACCTTTGTTGAAATACTTGCCCTTGATCAGTGGCCTCTTAGAGCCTCAGTTTCCTTACCTGAAGAAGGCTGTTACAAAGATGAGAAGGGGTTTATAACTTGATAAACAGGTTGACTGGGGTCGTTACTCTCCCTTTTCCTCTCCCCTTTCTCCCTCATCCTATCTGAACCTCTTTCTGACCCCCACTCCTTCCCCTGAGAGAACTGAGGGTCTGGTACGACTCTCCTCTACACTCCAGTTTCTGTGGATCGGTCTGCCCTGGAGGGAAGGGCTTTCCTAGGGCCCCTTAGGGTACTCCTACACAGACACAGGGCATCTCAGCCTGTCCCTTCAGGATTAACTAGGAGTGGGCAGAGGAGCACAGTCAAATCACTAAGGAGACATAGTGTTTAGGACTGAAAGTGCCACAGACAGCGTCCTCTGGCTGGAGAAACTGAAACCCAGAGGGGAGTGACTTGCCTAGCACCGCGGTGCCACACCAGGCACAGCTCCCGCCCAACTGCCCGGCCCAGCGGTCCCGTCTCCCAAATGCCCCGGTCCTGCGAGGGTAGAGCGGAGCGGGACCTTGAGTGGGAAATCGGTTAAAGACCTTTCCCTTCTCCCTTTAACCTACATGTTCTGCTTATTCTTAACCCTGGAGAAATGAGGGTTTTGGAAAATATTTATTGGTTTGTCTGTAGGTGGAGTCTGCCCGTTTATAGAAGTGCCCTCCCCGAACCAAACAAGAAGAACCAAATATCTATTATGTGTTTTTTTTTTTTTGGTTAAAAATATTCTCTTATTCTGTTTGGAGATATTTTGAACATAGTTGTTTATTTAATTACAGGTGGGACCCATTTTCCACTTAGGGGTTTGACTTAAATATATTAAACAATTTTAAGCCTGCAATAATATTTACTGGCAGGTCTGGGGGCCATTTTTCCTTCTAAATTCTTCATTATTGACTAGCATGATGCTGTTGGGTTTCTGAGGTCACAGCATAGTGAGATCAAGTCGTGGTTGTGAAACTTCCTTCTTGCTCAGGAAAGGTGGGAGCACATCCCTTCCAAGCTCATGACCTTGAACAAGTTTCTGAATCCCTCTGTGCCTTGCTTTCCTCATCAGTAAAATGGGAATCATAAAATTGAGATGCCACGTTTGTAGAAATATCTGGGGAAACGGATGGCGTTTCCGTAGTCTCCCAAAGAATAGTACTGAGACTCTCCTCCCACCAGGCTCCCAGACTTCCTGCTAGCTTTGCTCTTTTTAAAGATTTATTTATTCATGCACACAAGAACTGGGCTGCAGGCCAGAGACTTGGCGTAGGGGTGAGAGGATTCACCAGAGACAGAGCAGAGAGCAAAACAGGCAGATTGACTGAAATCCACTGCTGAGGGCAGCAGCGGGTGGGTCAGGAGAGGTCTGCCGCCATGTGGGTCAGCTCCCTGGCCGGGGGTCGAACCTGTGCTGCAGTGGCTGCGGACAGCCTCATAGGGCTGCGCCTTAACCCATTGCGCCACCAGCCATCTGCTAGGCTTTTGCTGACAGAGTGGGGTGGCTTTAGTCTAGGAGGAGGGTGGGGAATGGGGCCTGTACCCCATGCCTACCGGTGCGTGTGTCAGGAAAGATAGCAGGTGTCAGCACAGCATGAGGCTACAGCATGAGGAACCTGAAGCTCACAGCAGGTGAGCTGAAAGAAACCAGGTGCAGGCAGCAGACCAAAGCGCCACAGGTCACATTACATATGAGTCATTTAAAGGAAATCTTCAGCACAGGCAAACCCGTAAGACAGAAAGCAGATTCGTGGCTGCAGGGAGAATGGACTCAGGAGAAACGGGGAGCAGGGGTGACTGCTGATGGGCTTGGGGTGGTGGTAATGTTTAGGAAGTAGAGAGAGGGGATGGGTACATGACATTGTGAATGTGCAACCGTGGGTGAATTAATGATGTCTTGGTCAACGATGGTCCCGGCAGCCTGGGCATGAGAGAGGCTGGGCCCTCCAGGCTTGGGTTATGCTCTGAGACGTTAGCAGAGAGGAAGTAGCCTCACGTGTATTAACCCCATAGTTAAGCAGCATGTGGGCACTTCAACATGGCCCAAATGGTCAATTTTATGTTATGGGCATTTTGCCTCAACAAAAAAGCAGAGGTACGTGGTGAAGGGCGTTCTTTTGTAGGGAATGAGTAGGGTCAGGGAGCTCATTGATAAGATGCTTTTGAGGCAGAAACCTGGGTAATGAAAGAAACCATGAGGAGGTGGTGGGCATCACCAGTGCAAAGGCTCTGAGGTGGGGCTGGGTAGGGGGAGGGGGACGAGAGGGACGCTGGGGCAGAGTCACCTGGGCTGAGAGCAGTGGGCAGTGATGTCCGGGGTGAGAGTTTCACATTCCATCTCAGCTAGCTGGGGGCCAGGGAGGCTTTGAGCAGAGAGGCAGGATCTGACTTGCATTGTAACCCAACCGCTCTGGCTGCTGCAAGGAACTATCCTGGAGGGGACAGAGGGGGAGCCAGCCCTGGGCGGAGGCGGTGGTCTTTGTGAGTGGTGAACGCTGGGGCTGGCCTCTGCACAAGTTTGGCTGGAAGAGGAGGTGCAGCCCTTGCTGATGGATGGGTGCTGGGGGGCAGATGCTGGCTGGGGTACCAGTCACCCTATTTGACCAGCTCACCTCCAGCCAGCTGGTGTGTCATTCTGCAGCTCCTTCCTCAGCAGTCCCCACCCCAGAAGGTCATTGTGCTCCCCAGGGCCCTATCTCTTGGGTCTCAGCACATGGAATGTTTATGGCAGGAAGTCTTGCTCTTGCCCTGGCTGGGTCCTATTACCGATTGCAAGACGTACTGTTGTGATCTTCCTGTCTGTCTACCACCACCTCCATTGCTTTTTCTGATTCAAACTTAATACATGCTTGCCATGAAAAAATCAAACATTGCGGAAATATTTTTTTATTATTAAATTTATTTTTGGGGGAAGATTTTTATTTATTTATACATACAGAACTGGGGTACAGGCCAGAGGCTCTGGTGATTCACCAGAGACAGAGTGGGAACAGGCAGAATGACGAAGTGCACTGCTGAGGGGAGCAGCGGGCGGGTCAGGAGAGGTCTGCTGCGCCATGTGGTCACCTCCGGGGTGGGGATAGAACTCATGCTGAAGTGGCTTTAGCTTCTTAGTGCTGCATTTACCTGCTGCACCACCAAGGAGGACCCATGGAAATATTTTAAATGTAAATTGTGCTCCATCCCCAGAGTTAATTAACCTGTTATGTGCCGCACCTCCTCCAGATGTGTGTATAAATGCATCCAAATCTAAAGGTGTGCAATAGCAACGATCAGATCACACTACTTACATCTTATCATTTTTTTTCTTTTTTTTTTTTAAGATTTATTTATTCATGCATACAGAACTGGGGTACAGGCCTGAGGTTCAGGGGTGGTGAGAGGATTCACCAGAGACAACGTGGGGTGCTGCATCCTAACCCGCTGTGCCACTGGGGAGGGCCCATTTATCCTATTTCTGGCGCTGTGTCTGGGACGTCTTAGAACATACCAGTTGACCTCATTCTTCTAAAGTTGGATAATAACCGATGGCAGAGCTTCTCCCTCTGGACAGTGCAGGTGTTGGGGCCAGATGGAGCTCAGTTGTGGGGTGTCCTGTGGATGTTGGGCAGCAGCCCTGGCCTCCGCCTTCCACCTCTCATCCCCACTCTGTGATATCCAGAGTTGGCACAGGTCACCAGTATCCCGAGGCTGTTTGCAAATCTTGGCACAGCTGGGTGAGGCTTCTGCAGCCTGGAGTCCTTGATTTGTTGGGTCAAATGCTACATTGGCAGCACCTCTAGAAATGTGTAGGCAGGGCTGGGGGGCAACCAGAAAGTGGGCTAGAGGACTTGTCCTGAATGGGCATTTATTGTCTAAGCAAGGACATCAAAGAAAATCTATTTGTAGAGGTTGGGGAGGGGTTGAAAGGTCACAGGGTCCCTGGAGCTCAACACCCACACCCGTCACTGTGTCCTCTCTGGGTGTTGCCAAGCTCTCTTGGGTGTGGAGAGGCTGATGAATTTTCTGACTCTTGTGCTTCATCTTGCCAAGGATCTCCAAGAAACACATGAATTTGAGGGGGGAATCTTTTAAGATAAGCTGGGGGGTCAGCTCCTGTTTACTGAGCGCCTACTAGATAGCCTACATGTTAATAACTCGGCCTCTTCATTTTCCCAGCAGCACTCGGAGTAGACTATTACCCACCCCCATGTTGCCACCAGGACGCTGAGCTGGGAAGGGTGCATGTCTAAAGGCCCCTGGCGGCTGCCCTCGTTGGCCAGACAGCACTCCGAAGTGTAGGCCTCACAGGCCTCTGGAAGGGACTGGGAAGGGCTCACGGAGGGTGGGGTGGGACTTTACTCACTTAAGTAAACAAGTAAAAGCCCTCACTTAGAGACAGTGGGAGGCATGGTTAGGTGACAGATTCCACCTTCTAGACCTTACGATGTGAAGGTCACACACGCTGTAGCCCATCAGGAATAGAGTAGGGGAGTTCCCAAGCCAGGACACTGACCTCCGAGTGGCAACCTCTCTCTCTTTACAGAGTAGGCCCAGGGTGGAGGGGGAGGTGGAACACCTGATTTCACCTGAAACAAGCTGTGTTTCTGGCGGGAGCATCTGAAAGAGACTTGGGGAAGGAGGACAGAGAGACCGCGGAGCCCTCCCTGAGTGCCTGTCCTGTGCTCAGCCCTCGGGCCCTTGACACAGGCTTTGCCCTCCAGAGCCCTGCCAAGTAGATAATGCCCCCGTTTAGGCTCAGAAGGTCAGGGGAGGTCACGCGACAGAAGCCGCATTGCCGCCATCCCCCCACGGCCTGGATGGTGCCAGGGAACTACTATCTTCTCGACACAGATCCTCACATGAAGTAATGCAGTATGGATGCAGAAAAGAATTCAAAAGGTCTACGTGGACGTTGGACTTTTCATTTGAAAACAATTCCCTGGACACTCCTGTCTTCTGTTAGGTGGAGGCCATCAGCTCCCTCCTGGGCTGCTGCTGTGGAGATCCCCGGGGGGTGGGTGGGTTGGGGGTGCTGTCAGGTCTCCAGGCAACGTGGCACCTTCCTAGGATGCCCTTTGTGTCTGTCTGCAGATCCCGGCAGTTCCCCGCTCTAACCTTAGTTTCCCCACTTCTTCCAGGCCCAGTGGAAAATAAATGCCAAGACCTCTCGTGCAAGTGTGACCAGCAGTTTGCCTACTGCTTAGCCAAAGCCAAGTACAACATGAAGTACTTCTTCTTCCCCCAATTCTTATGCGGGGTCAAGTCGCCCAAGTGTGACTAACTATTTTGATTGGAAATGTACTTTTACACAAGGAAATAAAACTTTTCTCTAATCAACAGCAGCATTCAGTCCTTTGCAAGGGAGAACTGAGGTCCAGTGTTCAAGCTGCAGCCCTGTGTTTGCTCTCTCTGCTGTTCCGGATCCTGGGCCGGAGCTATTTTGGTGTCCAGTTTGATGAAGGTCAAGTTTTACGACTGACTTACAAAATCCCAACTGTGTTTATGACTATTAAGGCTGGTGCCATTGTTGGGGACTGTGACAGTGGAGGTTCTTGCAGAAAAGAACTTCGTGAGGCAGCTAGTTTGCTAGGCAGGGACAAGACGGACACTGCAGGCCTCAGGACTGGGCAGAGCGGAATGAGGCAGGGGGCTCTCAAGGGCTCCCCTTAATTGCACATGCCTTGCTCCCATCACTCCCCACTCCCAGAGTAATTGAACGACCCCTCCCACCCTTTCTCGGAGTTTGGGGAAACTTGTTAAAAGACTCTTCTCAGGCCTCCCAGACCTGCCAGACCCTATCTGGGCCTTGACCCAAAGCAGCAGCCCCAGCTGGCAGTGAATGAGGGCCCTTTCCTATTGCCCATTTTGGAGGTTTGACCTTTATGAAAAAGGCTAAGCTTTGTCTTCTTACCTGTTCCTGACGGCAGGTTGTCAGGTATGAATGAGCACCTACTTAATATGCACCTGGCCCTTTCCTAGGCTCTAGACTGAGGCAATAAAGAAGCTGAACAACACCTACCCCGTGAGGTTCAAGTCCAGGAACTGTTAGCTTAAGAATGTACTTTCCTGGCCCTCCCTGGTGGTACAGGGGGTTAAAGCACAGCACTGCAAGCTGGCCACAGCCGCTTCGTGTGAGTTCAATGCCCGGCCAACGAGGTGACCCACATGGCGCAGCAGATCTGGTCTTGCCCTCTGCTCACCTCAGCAGTGTACTCTGTCTGCTCCCCACTCTGTCTCTGGTGAATCCTCTCATCGTCCCTGTACCTCTGGCCTGTCCCCCAGCTCTGTATGCATAAATAAAATAAAAACTTTAAAATAACTGGGGAATGTAAGGGGAAAAAAAATCACTCTGGTCACATCTTATTGGGCTGCCCATCAGTCTTCTGTATCATTTTATGAGATGTAGTTGACTGTCCAGTGTCATTTTCACTAGGTTCCCTCCAGATCATGACAGAACCTCACAAACTTCTTTTTAAGTAGCTGTAGTGGGGCCTCCCTAGTGGTGCCAGGGGTTAAGTCTCAGAGCTATGAGGCTATCCACAGCCACTGCAGCACCAGTTCGATCCCCGGCCACGGGGCTGACCCACATGGTGCAGCAGGCCTCTCCTGTCTCCCCACTGCTCCCCTCAGCAAGTGTTTTCTAGTAGATCCGCCTGTTCTGTTTCCCACTGTCTCTGGTGAATCCTCTCACCCCGTCCCACCTTCACACACACCTTTGGTCTACACCCCAGCTCTTATATGCATAAATAAAATAAATCTTTAAAAAAAATTAGCTGTATAAGAAGCCATTTTACAAATTGCTAACTTTTAGCGACTAGGACTATTTCCTATCAGTTATTGCAGTGATAGGGCTGTTTGTGAATAAACTTTTCTCATCTCACCCACCCCCCTACTGATTATTTCTTCACCCAGCTTGCAGACTTAAGATTTCTTATACCAAAAGGTCTGAAAATTTTAAATAGGTGCCCCCTTTCAAGGCCCCCAAGGCTGCTGTGATGGAGGGCCCGGGGGGCAGGGAGGCAGCAAAGGTGCTTTCCCTTCTGCTGGCGATAAGGCAGCCCAGGGCGTTTGCTCAGTGCCGGGTCTCATCTCTGAGGCAGGGGGCTCTCAAGGGTGTTACTCAGCTCCGAGGCAGGACGTGCACAGTGGGAGGGGTCAGGTGGTAGCACTGGGGAGCACTGGACTGCGAGTCTGGCACTGTGCAGTCCTGCCAGCAGCTCTGCCAGGCCCCGCCCACACCTCTTTACCTCAGAACAGTGGTGCCAGTCTCCCGCAGCTCACAGGTAAGACAGTCAGCGGCCCTGGGGGGGGGGGGGGGATGAACACACCCCTCCCTTGGATTTTGGATACTGAAGGCGGTCTCCTCTGGGCAGCATTCACCGCAGGCTGGAGGCTGCGCTTGACTAATGATCAGTCGGTTGTATTGGCAAAGCCGATTTTTTTCATGTGCTCTAAACCATTCGATTTCCTCTACACAGAAGCTTTAACTGTGTAAAAGTCTTTATTTTTATTTCAAGTAATTTCTTCAAACGTCAGATGTAAAGTTTGAGTGAGATCTTCCGAGGTACAAAGGCTTACTGAATGGCCTATGGCTTCACAAAGACACTCTGTGAGCTTGTCTGCTGACGGCCGCATTTCCTATGGAAGGACATAAAGGCCTCTGTCCATCTCATTCATGGTCACTGTCACAGCCACACCTGCTTCTCATGTCTGAACAGGAAGATGAAGGTTACACAGTGTGAGGTCAATGTACAGAATGTTTCCTTGAACAAAAGGACTATCCTTTACAGGTTCAAGTCTTAAAAACAAAACAGTAATTTCACGTTAACACAGAGGCAGCTCAGTCCGGTGTGACTCAGGCCCCGTTAATAGTGGACATACACTTCCCCCCCTCCCCCCCAGGAAGGCTCCAGACACTCAGTGGAGACACACAGGAAGCAGTGACGAGAAGACCGGCCATAGTGCGTCTCAGGTGAGGTGAATCCTTTCAGAGATCTGACTCTGAACCTTCCTAGCAACTAGTCTGTACGAACTGTGGATTGGATGGTAGGTTTTCTGTCTGTCCTTTTTTGTGCAACTTGCTATGCCATGACAAAGTCTCTACCCCCATCTCCCTATGATGAGGGACAGCCCTGGTCCCACAAGCCTAGTCTGAGACTTGGCTCTAGGGCTCCAGTTGACCCTGGGAGCTCCCACCAGTCACCGAGGTTCCACAGGGGACTGCAGCAAGCCAGCCAGGTCACCCATACACTTGTCTGAGGGCCCTGGATCCTTGCCAGCTGCCCTGGGCGGCCCCCAAGTCCCTGTGAGGAAGGCGGCCGGTAGGAGGCTGCTCCTGTGTCGTCCAAGCACATCCTCGCCGCCGTGATGCCTCAGGCAGAGGGAGACAGGACCTTGGAGACAGCACAGCAGCACCTTGCTTACCAGGGGAAGGAAACAGAAGTCCGCTCCCTCCAGGCCCCCATTAAGCCTCAAAGCTCAGCCATCAGGGAGGCCGGCAGAGTCGCTCAGAACCTGGGCAGCGCCAGTCACAACACTTGGGTTTCCAGCCGTCGAACTTCTTTGACCACGAGGTCAATGTTAATAATTGGGTTGAAGTACAGGGCCCAGTAAAATAAACAGTTGCAAACAAACTGAGGAATGAGGGGCCAGAACATGGCCACAAAAAGCCCCTGTGTTGACACTTTCCAAAAATGGCTCCACATTCTCTGAGGCACAGTCCTAAAAAGAGAAGAGACACATTTGAGAGTGGACCCTTGACATCTTCTTAAGAGGACACCCAAGCAAGCGCTCAGGTCCTGGCCTCTGCCCGAGTCTGGCTGTCTGGCTTGCAGAGGCCTTGCCTCCTGCCCCTGGGTCTGACCAACCACTCTGTGGCTCCCTCAGGACACGCAGTCCAGCCCCTGTGCTGGGTGGGGCAGTCCCAGCCCCACCTGCTTCACTGCTGTATTTTTTAAAAGATTGATTTACTTATACACAAGAACTAGGGTACAGGCCAGCGGTGCGGGGTGGGGTGGGGTGGGGGTGTGTGTGAGAGGATTCACCAAAGACAGAGTGGGGAACAGAACAGGCAGATGACGAAGTACACTGCTGAGGGGAGCAGCGGGCGGGTCAGGAGAGGTCTGCCACGCCATGTGGGTCAGCTCCTTGGCTGGGGATCCAACTTGTGCTGCAGCAGCTTCAGATAGGTCCACAGTGCTTTAATCCACTGCGCCACCAGGGAGGGCCCTTCACTGCTGTATTTTTTAACCATGTCTGTATTTTCTTTGCTAGGCTGTGGGCCACCAGAGCATAGACTGTCTTCTTCACTAAAAGATCTGCAGTGCTCAGCGGAGAGCCAGGGGCAGGAGAACAATTCACGCGTGTGGATAAATGAGCTCTCTGAGCTGCAGTGAATGACAGAGGCATCAGGTCTCAGCACTGCTGACGAAGTGGCTCCTGATGGACGCACCACGAGCCTCCGGGTCGGGGGAGGATGCTGGTGTGGTGCTGCTCTGCCCCCAGCTGCCAGTGCCGGCCCTTCCTCTGGAGGTCAGTCCAAGTTTTTCTGGGGGTGCCTCCTTCCCTTGTTTTCACATGTCTAGACAGGGCTGAAGCGATCCCCTGGGGGCCAGGTGGGGCATGACCCCAGCCTGGACAACACCCAGCGTGGGGTGGGTTCAGTGGTGTGAGGTGACCCAGGCTGGGCCAATGAGCACAAGGGTCGGAGAGCCCAGGCCCCTGGCAAATGCTCGGGAAAGATGCCCTCTCTTCCCACTGGGGTTGCAAAACTGCTCAGATCTCTGCCGGGAGTGACCAAGGGCCCTACACAGAGAGCTGCCTGAGGCTGAACAACAGAGCGAAGAGTGTGTGTGTGTGTGTGTGGACAGCATTTGTCCTGCTGACAGTGATTCCATCTCTGGGGGCTTGGCTGGAGGTTTCCCTTTTAGGAACAAGCAAGAGCTCTGACTCAGTGACTGTCTAGTCAACTCTTTCATTTATGCATTAATCCAGAGAAGTTCCTGCCAAGCCCACTGGTGGCCGAGGAAATAAGAGCTCATGCCCAGGGAGTTCTGGTCAGATCTCTATGCCCTGCCATTGTGCTGCTTCCTATAAACTTGCTTATTTCTTCATTATTAAAGAGATCCAGGACTGCATCGTTATGGCTGTCGTGTGGAGATAACAATAAGGAACACCATGAAAACCTCCCCACCTGAACACAAGAGCATGTTTCTCTTCACTGCTTAAGTGACGCTTCTACAACAGGGCTCGGAAGGAGTCTTCCCGTCTGAGTTAGGTCAAAAAGGACTTTCCCACCCCTGGATATCTCTTTCCCAGTTCCCTTTACTTCAGCCAAGATATGAACACACTTACTTCAGTTCACTTCTTGACCAGATCCTCCAAAAGGAAAATAGTTCCAGGACAGAAAGTAACATGGCATTGACAATGAGAAACCGGGATGTCCAGTAGTGGACCTCCAGCCAGTCCCAAGCAAACTCAGCAATCAGCTGGTAGGGCAGGAAGGAGTATTTGACCAGGAATTCCCGCCACTGCTTCCAGGTGGGCTCTTTCAGATCCTTTAAAAGTAATGCACAAACAATAAGGACTGACTTCCACGCAACACACTGTGGCTGTCCCAGTGAGTTTTACAGGAACATACACACACTGTGGAGAAACAACAGTCCCAGCCAGGGGCGCCTGGGGAATACGGCAGGTCACGATGACCCAGCGCTGAGCACACTCGCGCTAACAGGACCTGGAAAGGGGCCTCGAGGTCACGTGACCATCGGCCAGCCCTCTCGGGATGAACCGTGGGCAAACTCTTGGCTCTCCCTAGACCCATCACCTGGACACCAGGTTGTCCTTCCTGGTATGGACAGAGATGGTTACTATTCTTCGGAAAACCTCACAATGTATAACTTTGATCCTTCCTTCCCTTTCCGATGTCTGCCTTAATCACGAGCACTGCCTGCATGAGTCAATGCCACATACAGTTTTCACAGATGATTAGCAAAAGGTCAAAATAAGCCTATGGGGAAATGTTAAATTTATGTCGTGTTTAGAATGCTTTCTGTATGGTCTAATGCTAAGAAGATGGGAATAAAAACCCTGGGAAAATAAAGACTGGCACTGTAGCCTGGAGCTCAGTCCCCCCTCAGTTGCTGCCACTCAGGTCTTTCTGTGGCCCCAGTCCGCGACCCCCTGGATGGACAATTCACACAACAACCTAATTCCACAATTTGCCTTATGGTAATTCCAACTGGATAAATGTCACCGAAGAGTTTGAAACGAGATGCTTGTACATAATCATGAAAGTCTACAAGTAAACAACTATCTAAGCACAGACTATAAATAATGGAGTTGGCATGAATTGAAACAAACCATTTTTTACAGTTCTTTGTCACTGCATGGATAACTCTAACTATTTCCTAAATGAACACCTTGGATGTGGTAAACTGACACCAGGCCCCGGGAACAGGAAACACACACCTTCACATTCTGTGGAACACACCACACACATTCTGTGGAACAGAAAGCTGTTAATTACACATATTAGCAGGCGATTAACAAGAATACTCAAACAACTCATACCATCCAGAAGGCTAACGGAAGCTCAGTGAGACAGCAGAGACAGAATGTTCCAGAAAAAAAGTTTGCCCAATGAGCAGGCAGTTGCTGTGGGGCTTGTTAGGAAGAAGAGGCCTTAGCTCCTAGGCCAGCCAGGCCGGGAGACAAGTGGACTCTGGATGATCAGAGTAGCACCGTGCTAACTCAGAATGGCCCACCAGCAACCCTGAAGGCATCTAGGGATCAAACTGGAAAAGCAAGGGCCTGGGTGGGGAGCTGGCCCTGCCGGGACCGTGGTCAACTGGTGTGGCCCAGTGTTTGGAGGCCGACAGGATGGACACTCGTTCTTCTGTGTGGCAAGACATAATCATCCTTTGGGATCTTGCTGAGCGGCAGGCTAACAAACTGGAAGACCCATTCCCTTAATCCTTGGGCAGTCTGGAGTTTTATAACAAAAGCAATGCTGTTCTTTTCATCCCCTAAATATTTCAGAGGTGGCCCTCAAGTTAGGCAATGCAGGAAGCAAAACAGCCTTCGCGGAGTGGGGCAGTTCCTCTTTGCTTTCTCTAGTAAGGACCGTTCCACGCCAGGGTCTGGATGCCACACCGAGGAAACGGCCACCCAGGCACACTGCAGACCTACCAGAAGCGTGGTGATGATGGCCTCCCCAGAGCTGTCTTCTTGCAGAGGGCAGATGGTATGGATGAAGGGCAGGAAGGTGTCTGTGTAGTCAAACAGGTAGAGGTACAGCAGCCCGAGTCTGGGGGAGCTCTTGAGGGCATAAAGCAGGAACAAGGACCTGCCGGGGTTCACGGCCTGCAGAGGACAAGGCAGGCCAAGACTGCATCACAACCACGGCGACCAGCACCCCACCCGTTGGCTTCCCAGACTCATTCCAGGCTGCAGCCTTCCTGCATGGTTTGACAGACCATGTGTGACTAAGTAACACAGCAAGAAGAAACCAAGTGATCAATCGGTTGGGTTACATAGTATAAACGTGCATCTCTCTCCACTGTTGGGGCTGAGGGTAGGGATGGGCTGAGATTCATACTCCTAGGATCGGCTTGAAGATGTAAGCTTGTAGGAAAGAAATTTTACACAGTGTATCAGGGAGTCTTAAAAATGTTTGACTTAACACTTAGCAAAGAAAATCTGAACTACAGATTTTAGACATAAAATGTTTGGTGCTGTATTGTGTGTAGTGGAGAAAAGCAGTGGGATCTGTGATCTAAAACAGGAAATGACAGTCACTGACATGTGAGTGAGAAGCTTTGGTTAATGCTCCTGTTACAATGTCGGTGAAACAAAGATTCAAAGCCTGGTAGTAGTCACAACATAAGTGAATCAATATCCGGGAATGAAAATAGAAACAAAAGGACTGTTTAAACTTCAGACAGAAAACTGAGTGGAAAAAAAGGGAACAAAATTCCGTGTTGACTGTCCGAATCTCAGGTGGGATTCCAGGTAATTTATTTTCCTCATTTTTGTAAAATTTATTATAACATATGGGTATTTATATTTTTCCTGATTATAAAAATAACTGAAACGACTCAACTTGTCACTACTAAGCATCACAAAAATAGGGACTTCTGGAGGGCGACAATTTATTGTCATATCTGAGTCTCTCAGTCCCCAAGAACAATCGTCTTGGGGGCGGGGACACCTGCACTAAGGTGACAGGGCCCAAAAGGAACGTCTGACCGTGTCCAGTCACCCTGGTCACGCCTGAGACCCAGGAGGAGGGCAGATGGCAGGCCAGTATGTCTGGTATGAGTGGTGGTGGCTGCAAAGGCCGACCACAGTGATTGTGAAGCCAGCTTCTGTGATCCCTCTCCGGGACCTGTGAGAACAGGGACCCTGAGGGTGATGTGCTGGGCCACGAGGCTGGCGGGCCCATCACGCGGCCTTTCGGGGTCTGCCAAATGCCTTTCTTTGGCAGGCTGGCGATAAGCTTCTGCTTGCTTTTTTACCCCCCATGCAGTCAGTCCTAAACACTCTAGCTATCATGAAGGTGACTTTTGCTTTATTTTAAATGGAGGGCTGCTGCTGGATAAGAGACCCAGCATTCTGCCAGGATTCAAAACCCAGCAGAGAACTGATATTGGTCACAAGAAGTTCAGAATCTGACTGCACTAACTAAATCAGTAACTTATGACAAAAGTAGCAATGTTTTAAAGTAAGGAACAAACGGATCTCAAACTTATATAACGTGATAAAGCAATGTCATTTTAGTAAAACAGCAGCAATGCAAAACACCACCACCCTTCTCCCTCAGGACACCTGTGACCATTCATCAAATCTGAAATGACTGTGTTTTAGTTTATGTGTACAGAGTTAAACGTGGCTCTTTCCAAACGGCACAAAAATGTTACCAAGTGACAAAAACTCCCATCCATCCAAATCTCTTTCCCAGAAACCATGTCAGCAGTTTGTGCCCTCTGGAAGTATTTTACGCACAAGCAAACATGTTAAGTAGCTAAAAGTACATATCTCCAAAGTGCCTTCTCTCACCTGCAGCTAACAACACATGCCAGCAGCCTTCCTCAACAGCACAGCCCCGCGGCCCCCTCCCAGAATGGCTAACGGTCTGGGCGTGTCGTATTTATTTAACCTGTTCCGAGAAACGTGCAAGCTTTCTTGTCTATGATGCTATCTTGCTTAATACTTTCTGTGACTCAGACATGCAGCTTGCACTTTGACCCCATGAGGTCATCTAGCTAGGAGGAAGTGGGCATCCCAGGTCCGGGTAGAGGCTGGCGGTCCACAGCCAGGGTGTCCTGGCAAGGTCTGGCGAGGAGCTGCTGTTGATCACTGTGTTAGCTGCGCTGCCTCAGCTCCAAATGCAAACAAGTGACATTTTAGGTCAAGGAGCAGATGTGATTGAAATTTTAATCGTTATTGACAAATTGCTCTCCAAAGAGATTGCAGCTGCTTCTGATCTGCAAAACTAATCCATCCTTGACCGCATCCCGGGGGTAAAAAAAAACATACCACCTGGTTGTTTTAGTTTGCACCTGCCATTACGTGTGCAGTCAAATACTGCATGAGAGGAAATGCATGTAATGGACCCCGCCATAGAAGGGATGGGGTGTGGCGCTCAGTCCATGCCCCTCACACTGAGGTAGAAAGCTGCAAAATGACAGGCCTGGTGCTGGCGGGTACAAAACTGCAGGAGGAGGGCCACCCGTCTGCCCAGGCCGGCCGCAGCCTGGCGCAAGGGCGCCCTGCCTCCAGGAGGGCGGGGCGTGGGCTGCCAGTGTGTCTGTGACACTGCCTCACTCAGCGGCACAGAGGACAGTTATGCGGGCCCTGTATTTTTCAATTAAAAAACAGTAGGAGTTCACCTTATACTCCCAGAGGTTTTGGGGCGGCTTCACCCCGAGGGCTTTGACGCGCTCCAGTTCCAGGAGGATGGCTCTCCTGTGACTGCTATTTTCTATGGCATATGGCGCCTTGGAGAAGTCCTCCTCTGTCAATGTTAAGAGCAACCTATGGCAAGGGGGGACAGGAGATTTCTTGTGAGATTATACACTGGAGGCAAAGCTTCAAGGTCAAGCTGCTTCTTATCCACACACCTACTTTCACTTGAGGTAAGACCCTTAGTAGATGAAATAATACTAGTAACAGCAAAGAAATGGATGCTGATGACCTGCCAGTGACTCTGAGAATTGACTAAATTGCTGCTGATGTATCTGACAATTCTGGGGGGGCGGGTGGCATGACGACCCTTCTGTGGATAAGAAAACTGGATAGAGAAAGGGGCAGCATGAGGTCTGCCTGGGCTGGTTTGCTCCTGACATGGGCCTTCACCTGAGCACTGACCTCTCACACAGGCCTCTATTTTTCAAAGTGTATACATATGGGGAAAAATCAGAAAGGAACCCACAAAACATGACAGCTAGATCAGTTGTGCTGGAGAAGTGATTTTATGAAAAGACAGATTCCTTATGTGCCCCCCTCAGCAGCAATCGTGACTTCACCTCCACAGGTGTCGCAGCAGAACATGCGGCGGCTGCAGTGCAGACGGGGCCCTTTTATGGGTGATCTGGCAATACCTATGACAGCTGTAAAGGTTCATCCCCTTTGACTCAGCAATCTCAGTTTTCAGAATCTGCACTGAATCTATGTGAGCATAAGTAAAACAAATCTTAAAAAAAAATTTACTTATGCATATAAGAACTGAGGTGCAGGCCAGAGGTGCGGGGGTGAGAGGGTTCACCAGAGACAGAGTGGGGAGCAGAACAGACAGATCTACTGAAATCCACTGCTGAGGGGAGCAACAGGTGGGTCAGGAGGTCTGCTGCATCGAACTCAGGATGCAGTGGCTGGCGGAAGCTTGACAGGGCTGATTTATAGGAAATACTCTGAGCAGGCAAATTCAGAGACCAAAGCAGAATGATGGCCACCAGTGCTGAGAGAGTGGGCAATGAGAGCTGACTGCTGAGGGCTTTTCTGGGGCTGTGGTGATGAAAGTGTCCTAAGGCTAGACAGTGGTGATGCTGTGCATATTTGTGAACTTAATTAAGTCACTGATAACACACTTGAAATAGGTGGATTTTATGGTAGGCGGACAGCTCAATATAGGTATTTTAAAAAACAACAATGATGTGGCAGAAGATTTTGCTTCTCACCTGCCATTTACTCTTTCAGATAAAAACCTGTCCCTGTAGAGAGAAGCCCATGGGCCCAGCTGCTCCAGCCAGAAGACAACTTCTTCGGCTGTCCACTTGGCCACAGCCTTGTGGACCAGGAGATCATGCTCAGATTCCCTGCTGCTCCAGTGGTACACGAGCAGGACCACCTGGGGAGAAGAGACAGGACTCAGGACACGGAGGTGCAGAGGCGCCTGTGAGGGTGTGGCAGCCGCGGGTGGCACAGCTTGTGGGGAATGGTCTGAGAGCGCGTACACAGGACACTGCCACCGCCCGGGATCTTGGGGCGCAGCGCTTGGGGGGCTGGCCTCTGCTGGCTGTGGGGTCACGGCCGCCACGGGGAACAGAGGCCGCCGTGTAGCTCACGGCAGGGCACTGGGAGCTCTGTACTCTCTTCATTAACGGCCAACAAGCCCACTCCTGCCTTTTCTAGCAGGAATGTTAGAACAAGTTTTCTGTAGCATGAAACTTTAAGAAAAAACCATCTTTGCGGGTGCTAGTAATGTGCTGCGTACCAGATGCCGTCAGCAAGGCGGCAGACCTGGGCCGAGCACCAGTTCCAGCACTTTCTGTCCGTACAGCCTTGTCTCTGAAATGGGACAGTAATGGCGCCTACTGCATAGGTGATGGAGACCGTGAAGTGGGAGAGAGCTAACATTTACCTGGCTCTCTCTCTCTCTGACTATCTATTTCTACTTGAGGAAGCAACATCCCCGGAGAATTATACAATCCAGCAGATTTCAACGCCTGAGATAAATTACCACATGCAGTTATGTCACTGATCACTGCAGCCTGACTGCAGTGGGAGTCACAGGGGAGGGGGACAGCGACACCAGTCTTACTGCCACGCAGGATAAAGCTGTGAGCACTCCAGAGAAGAATCCGCCTCCTCGCTGCTGATTCGCTCGGCCCGTGTTGGGAGCTAAAGAAAGCTGGTCATTCCCATATTTCTGAAAGGCTGCGAGACTCTGGACTATGTCTCTGTTCTGCTGGATGTCTTCGTGCCGCATTCTAATGGCATCAGGAAAGAGTTTTTCAATGGCATCCCTACCGAGAACACAAAAAGAAAATCACCAGGCAGTTGACTGATGAAATATACTTATGTAGAAGTCAAAATGAAGTAGGTAACATTTAATGATATAAAAGTGCTTCAAGGAATGAACAAGAGATTGGTAACCTAAAAAAAAAAAAACAAGCTAAGCAGAACCTGGTATATTCTTTGCACCATGTAGGTCAGCTCCCTGGCCAGCGATCGAACTCGTGCCAAAGAGGCTGCTGATAGCTTCACAGTGCTGCGCTTTAACCCTGTGTGCCACCAGGGAGGGCCCTGAACGTGGTACAGTCTACACAGTAGAACACTACATGGTTTTAAAAGCAAGGTGGGTAAACTTAAGTTACACGCACCACTGAATGAAACCGCAGAGTCACAGGTATTTTTTACCATTCATGTGAGAAAGTATTTTCATTTCCTACTGGCATACAGATATGTAAGTACTTTAAAAAATCTCAAAGCAGTCACTACAAAGTCATAACTGAAATGACTCTGAGGAATGGGAAGGAATGATTCTCAGACAGGGAAGGAGGCGCCACAGAAGTTTTTAGAGTTATCTGTTATATTTTATATTTTAAAAAGAATGTAAACAAATAAGTGGAAACAGATACTGCTTATGGTATTAAGAATTAATTCACCAAGAAAAGGTGATGCTAGTGGTGAGAGAAAGACCAACCTTGAGTTCACTCTCTTCATTTTGATTTATATATAATCAAAGGACTTGCCTTCACTTTAAGAATCACCTTCAGATAGACCAGAGTTGACAGGTGAAAGCAAAGTATTTGTAAATTCACGTCTATGAAAAAGAGAAATAGCTGGGCTAATGTTCTCATGGTGCGTTCTGGCACTCTGTTGTTATCAAGGAGGCAACGGACGAAGGAACAAGACTTTTTAGCCTCAAAGACCTCACAGGTACTTACTTGATGAACATTTTGAATGGAGGCAGAAAAGAACAGGTCACCTGCAAGGTCTGGCCATTTGTTGTGTGATGCTATGGTGAGAAGCTGCTGCTATTTGTGTGGTAACTGGAGCAGAGTTCAAAGATTATGAAATAAGCACCAGGCCAGTTACTCAGAATTGCACAGCTACACCGTGTTCTCTATCAGACCAAGGGTGTTCTCGGGGATACAAATCAATGCAAGTGCCATAGGATGGAGGATTATAAGCAGAAATGCTTTTCTTCACTGATGTCACAGGCACAGATCACAGAACGTGAGTGTGGGCTTGCAGGCACATGCGCTCAGTGACTCACATGCCAACAGCACCAGGGCGACCAGGAGGTCGGACTTGTCAGACGTGGCCACGCCTGCTGAGCGTTACCAGAGCTGTGTCTGCGCTGATAAGTAACGAGCATTACCTGAGGAGAATATTGACTTTGGGGAAACCTTCCCATTTCTCTCTGCATTCTGGGCACTCTGTCTTCTTCGAGGAGACCCACCACAATGCTAGGCAATGCCGGCAGAAACTGTGCCCACAGTTCAAGGTGGTAGGGCTAACCAGGATGTCATAACAGCAGTGGCAAGAAAACTCATTGACGGAAATCTGGGAGCTGGTGCCCTTGAGAGGGTCGTCGTTCTCAAGGCTCTCTGAGTTCAGATCGCTGTGCTGGGACTCCTCCATCTCAGCAACTTCCGGGCTCCACAGGCAGAGAGAATTCTATACCCAGAGAAGTTCTGCAAAGTGTCATGCAATCTGGAGAGGGGAAAGAGCAACAGAACAGGACAGAGCGTTTACTAGGTGTGTGAGGCGGCTGCTACTCTACTGAACTGTGGATTTTAAAACAGGACAAATTTGCCTTGTAAAAACAATTCAATTCCACAAACCACATAGCCACTAGGGCCTTTGTTTTTTTTGGCCCATTTGCCAAAGTTTTGTAAATCATGAAAAGCTAAATAGCCTGGTGGAAAGTTTAATGGATTTGGCGGCATAGAGAATGCGAGATCCTTCTCTTTCACTGAATTCTTTTGAACACCTGGCTTTTCTAAAGTCCATTCAATCTGTACGATTTAAAAATACTCCAGCTTCATGGCCTAGTAAAAGGCCTGGAGTTGGCAACGACAGAGGTATTTATGTAAATGGCACATTTTAACCAAACAAGGCCGCCTTCCCTTTAGGTAATTACTTCTATAAACATGTGACTTCTGAGGCTCCCGCAGATCAGTGCCAAGGAGCGAATGGTCTTCTTCCACGGTGCCCAGGCCAGGTCACCTCCCTTGTGGCCCAAGA